GAACCATTACCAAAAAAAAATTGTTGTTTAATTATAACAACTGTGCTGATTAGATGGTACTCCATTCTTGGTTGTAAAGCAGTTTGGCAATATGTATCAAAAGCTTTAAAAATGTTCATTCCTGGGCCGGCCGAGTGGCTCAGTTGGTTAAGAGCTCACTCAAGAGTGTGAGCTCTGAGAAACAGCAGTTCAAGTCCTGGCCCGAGCTGAGCTGCCGCTGGGCTGCCAACAGGAAACAGCAGTTCAAGTCCTGGCCCAAGCTGAGCTGCCGCTGGGCTGCCAACAGGTGGCAGGATGGCTCTGCTAAAAAAAAAAAATGTTCATTCCTTTTAATATAAGATCCCTTTAATAATACAGACCCTGGAATCTAATTATCTGAATTCAAATCCTGGTTTCTCCACTTATCAACTGTGTAAACTGAGGTGATTTAAATTAACATGCCTCAGTTTTCTCATCTCTAACATGAAAATAATAATGATAGTACCTACATTCTTGGATTATTATGAGGATGAAATGAGTCAATACTTGTGAAGTTTTGGGAATAGTGCTATATAAGTTTGCTAAATGTGAATATATTCAACTATTTTTAAAATTTACTTTAAGAAATTAGTTACCAATTGAGAAAGTGAGGATGGTTCTGGCTAAAAGAATCTTGAGATATCTAAAAATATACATCTCAAATGATTAAAACAGATTTAGAAGGGTTGAACTCATGGTGTAATTAACCAAAATCTATCAAATTTAATAATTCTTAGACATATGAACTTCAGGGAATCATATTCTGAGATGATTTCCTTAGATATTGAAATTAAGAGAAAGGCAGACCCCTAAACAGATGAAAAAATAAAAAATTCTAAAAGAGTTGAAATCATCTAATTACATTACAAGATGTTATGAATCTAATAAATGTGAATTTTAGGTGAACATGTCATTGTGAAAATTAACCATTAGGTTTACAGGAGGATTGGTTTTAGGATACTTAGTTTGTTCCTTTTAGGCCATGGTAGAATTAATATCTAAATGGCTTTTGGGAATTTTGTGGGAATTAAAAGGGATACCACTATTAAATCCCTGGCTAGGTCTAACCTACATCCATCATGGGACAATTTACATTGTCCTAGCCTCATCAAAGACTGAGATCTATGTTCAACTGTTTCTTTACCATGTGGTGGCAAATTTAACAATTTTTAAAATTATAATAATATTTTCTATTATTTTATCTAGACATTCTTCAAGGTAAATGTGGTTTCTTTTCTTTTTTCTAGTCTTGACTCTACCTTCTTAGAGTTGGATCCACGGCAAAGTCTCCATATCTCTGTAATTGAGGGAACCTGAACTACGCTTTATATCTAATGATGGCACGACTGACATTGTGAGGGCCGTTGCTTGGCATGACAGATCTTTACCACGATAGACAAGACAGTAGCACAAACTCTAGTCATAAGGAAACTTCTCTGGCATCCACATGGGTGAGAGACAGCACCAACAGCCTTGTTTTAGATCTTTATTTTAATCTATTTTCTTAATTCTAGATGGATCTCACATCCCTTATCCTTTCCATTAAAATACTTGATGGCTGTTTATAGTCTCCTGTCCAGAGTCACAATCTAAGCTATATATAAAGCAAAATTCAAATAAATCTGAGAACACATTTCTTCTCCTGAAAATAGCCACCCCTAGAAGGGGGCTTAGATAATTTAGGGGAAAAAAGCCAACCCCCAAAACCTCCTTTCTTCTCAAACACCCTAAAAGATAGAGGGAAAACAAGATGAAAAAGTGACCAGTTAATATACAGATAGAGTGATTAGTTCTTGAACATTAAGAGTTTAGCTATTTTTACAGGATAGATTTGTAGGAAATTATACAGAAGGACTTTGTGATTAATGAGCGAAAACCAGCATTAGACTGGCTCTTTTCAGCAATCTTAGCAGCCATGGTTAATGTGAGCTGTAGTGTCATTTATGCTGTCTTAAAAAATTGCACGGATTGTAAAAAACAATCAGAAATACAAAGATAGGGAGATGAGATTGCCACATCTGAAAGTCTTGGAAAGAACTAGAGAGTTATCTAGTCAATGGCATCAATGTATTAACAGGTAAAATAGATACCATATTTGAAACTCATATATATATATATATATATATATATATATGGCAGATGTATAGAAAAATCTTAGGGTTTGGAATTAGATAAACCAGTACTTACATCTCAGCTTTACAACTTACTAATAGCATTTTGGAATAACATCTCTGACTTGTTGATTGGTGTAAAGATTGATAATGGAAATAATATTCTTAATGTGACTGACAAAGAGTAATTACTTAGTACATGTTCATTAGCTTCTCCTTTACATTTTTTCTCCCTTTATTTTTTTTCTCTCCCTTCTTCTCTTCTTTGCATCTCTTACGTTGGAAGAGATCTTTTAAGGTCTTGAATCATATTCCATTGCCATGGAAAATTCCTGGGTAAAAACTATGTTTTTTTAAAAATCACTTATCAGGATCAGGAAATTTTTTTGTATAGCAGATTAAACTCCTCTCCCATCTCTGACCCCATTTCCTTTTAATTTTATTTATTCTGTTGATCTTAAGAGAAAAATAAAAACAACTGAATCTTCATGTTACTGACCTTATTTTGTAATCTATCACAAACTCTTTGAGACCCCTCAGCTATCTTTTTTCAAAGGGTGAAGAAAGAAAAATTCACAGATAAACTGGAAAACTATTCATGCAGGCAAATGGATTGAGAGAAAAGCACAAATGGGAAAGGAGGAAGAGAAATAAATTGTGAAGCAGATAGAAGAAAAAAAGGCAGATGAGAAAAAAAAAAGATGAAGTGAAATAGGGAAACAATGTGCAAGTTAGAAATAAGAGATTGTGAAAAACATAATAATCCTAACAATCCCTGCCATCTCGGTGACTTCCATGGTTCAGATTCTCTCATAAACTCCTCACAACAACCTGTGAGGAACTCTGTGCTCTAAAAATGCACCTCTAATACGACTTTAAGATGGGGAAATGCAGCCTCAAGAGAGAGTAAGTGACCTGACTTGTCAAGTACCTAGAGAGGGATGGGGGCAAGACTCTAACTGTAGTCTTTTAGCATCCTCAAAACCTCTGTAGATCGAGGCCACTTTATCATTAAAGTGTTAAAGCCAAAAGAAATTTTCTGACTCCTGGGACAGTGCCCTTTCTGCTCTTCATGCTGAAAGAAGATGGAAAAATGAGGAAAGGGAAGATCAAGAGAGAGAGATGAAGGACGTCATGAAGGCAGACAGAGAGCTAGAAAGGGAGGCAGAAAACCCCCCAGAAAGATGAAAGGCCAAATAGGAATAGACTGAAAATCCCACAGGAGCATAATAGCACATGCTGTTGGATGATATGGAACCAACCTCCTCATCTAGGGATTTGGAACCCTCTCACTTCAGCCAGGTGACTCTGAGGAGAATTGGTTTGTTCTCTGGGCTCTTTCTGCCTTGTAGGCAGGTCACCTCAAAGCCAGACCAGCCCTCTCATTCAAGCCATCTGCATCTTCAGCCAGAGTCAGGAGGGCAGGTGGGCAGGCTCAGAGAGTCTTATGGAAACATGGAGGGAAGATACAGAGGAAGAAGCAACCAACTGGAGAGAGTTGGGAAAGCAGAGACACAGCTAGACGTTTAGAGAGGAAGAAAGAGCAAGTGAGAGGTTAACAGAGCCAAGATCTGTGATATCTCATCTACGGCCACTGTGTGCACAGCCCTGGTGTGATCTGAACACAGTTGGTTGCTGAGGGAGCCAGCGAGCGTTCATCTCCGATGGATGCTGACAGAGGCAGAGTCAGCTTTCCACACAGAAGTGAGCACGTTCACCGACCTTCTCTGTGGGCTTCGGCATATACAAGTGAGGCTATCAACTGTGCTGATATCAGGCCCAGAGTGAGGGAGCAGTGAGTTCTGCTGTAAACCAGCTGCTCATCCACAGTGTGAGCTCCTGATTCTCTACTCCCTCTGACTCTACTGTACTCTCCATGCTGTCTCCTCACTCTCTCTCTCTCTTTCTCTCTCTGTCTCTCTCTCTCTCTCTCTCTCTCTACACACACACACACACACACACACACACACACACACACACACACACACCCAGAGTAGCAGGATATCCAATAGACTCTCAACATCAGGGAGGCAGAGGCTGCCTCTCATTGGTCACTGATTGGAAACTGACTGTAACAGATGAACAGCCCATTTCTTGAAGTCTGCCATAGTCTGACCAGGTCTCAGGAGTTTAAGCAGATCAGATCAGTCCTAGTATCCTCAGGGAGACTTGTCCATTGGCAAAGGGCCCTGGACTTTCTGAGTTAGTTTGGATTGTTGTTTGGAAGAACTAAGGGTCCTGCAGGATGTTTTCATGTTTCCTACTCCCTATGCCAGAAAAAAAAAAAAACCCATTCTCAGAGGTAGAGCCTACTTAGAACCGATCACCTTGAACCCCAACCCACAGCATTTAGGGAGATCCAGTCCAACATGAGATCCCAGGAAACACAAATGAGAGTAAGTATGTTTTCTTTGGAAAAAAAGGTCTATTCAGAACAATTCCTAAATCGAATCAACTACGCAGTCATGTTCAAAGTTTCCAACTTGTCCCATATATTTTTTTTTAAGTTGGTTTGGTAGAATGAAAATCCAAACAAGACCCAGAACGTATAAGCAGCACAGGAAAGAGTGGGCCTGATAAGACTAATTCTGCACACCTCTGCTGGCAAAGGGGAGTTCTCATTTCCTCTCTTGCCTTGTTCAGGTGGGCTTAGCAATTGCACAGGGCTGAAGCTATGGGAGCAGCATTTCAATCTCTACAGGGAGGTTTGCCAGGGACTACAGGGCTGATAATGAGTTAGTGTACCACACATAAATCTCTATCCCCATTTTCATCTTCTCCTCAAACAATCTTTGATACCATGTGCCAAGGGACAGATGTTGAAAGCAGCCCTTCTTTAGGAACTGCGGGCGCCTAGGACATTAATGCAACATGAGGATGCAACCCGAGAGAGTGAGGCAAACAAAAGCCTTCCTGCCAGGAGGTAAGGAGACCATCACCTACAAAACAAGGTGAGAAACAGGGTCAGCCTCTTCTAGGAGCAACTCTAGGGAAGGGCTGATATTTTGGAAATGATTTATGAAATAAAGAGCTTCCAATCCAAGTAGTATGGAGAAAGCTTTGAATGTATCTCTCTCTAGCTTCTAATCAAGATGAAGAGATATATTCTAACTTTTCTCCACACCCTTGGACTCATTCTTGAGGGAAATTACTTCTGTGGTGATAAACAGACCTCTCTATAGGAGTAACTCTGACCCTTAGTTCTTTAACCACAAATGAAGCCCTGAATGAAGTCTTTAGCTCACTTTTCACGGTCTGAAAGAGCAATATCAAACTTATTGCGCCATCTGGAGGTACTAGTGTTAAAAAACAACCCTTATCCACTTTTTTAGGCTGATCAAATTACTTAATGCATAACTTGTGCAATATAGCAATTTTTCAAGCTGGGTGTAGTGGAGTATCTTGAAGGGAAAGAGCCTTCCTTAATTAAGATGATTAATTCCATAAAGTGATTTTTTTTAAGAAATAGCATTGCTGTACAAGAAGGATGGCAAAACTTTGTCTTTATCACACTTTATGAAATTGTTCTGAAGGCACTAGCTAGAGTTCAGGTCTGATTGCTTAGCACTGTTAATGATATTTAACAGATGGTAGGGAAGTATAACAGCTAACATGCTACTATGTACAACTCACAAAAGCCCATGCCTTTCTTTGGGAAATAATAAATAGAAGTTCTTAATTTTAATGTAGACATATTTAAGATTTTTTTCTGGTTTTTTTTTGGGGGGGGAAGGAAGGTTAGCATTTTTTTGTGTCTTGTTTAAGAAAAATTTCCTTACCCCAACATCATGGAAATATTCTCCTGTATTATGTCTAAAGCTTTATTGTTTTGCACCAATTAGATGTAAATTTAAATGGAAATTGCTTTTGTATTCTATAACATCAAGTAGGAGTCAGATGTCACTTTTTTCTGTATGGATAACTAGTTATCTAGGCACCACCAATTGAAAAAATATCCTTTCCCCACTGCTTTGCAGTACCTTTGTTATAAATCTTGTGTCCATAAATGTGTGGATTTTATATGTGCACAATCTTTTCATCTGTTAGTAAAGGTAGTTTTAATTCTTCCTTTTCACTCTTAGACCTTCAACTTTTTTTGCGTGTGTGTTCGCGTGTATGTGTGTGTGTATGTGCCTTATCGCACTGGCTAGAAATCCAGTGTAATATTCAGTACAAATACTAAGAATGGAAATAGCTATTTTATTCCTCACCTGAGGGTAACAAGTATTCAATATCTTGCCTTAAGTGTGATATGAACCATAGGGTGTTTTTTTTTGTTTTTGTGTTCTTGTAGATTTCCTTTTGGTAGATTGAGGGAATCTAACTTTATCTAGCATTTCTTTCTCTCAAGGTCTGCATTGTACCTCTAAAGATTTTGTAAATTTCATGTGTTTCAATGGTTATCTTTTCTTTTTGTATATTCATTCTTTCTCTTCCTGCCCCCAACTTAGGTTAGCTAGTTTATCTATTTTGTTTCAAAGAAACAAAGGATTTGCATTTAAGTAGGTATGTCCTTTACGTCATTAATTTTTGCTTTTATCTTTATTCTTTTTTTCCTTTTATTTTGTTTCTTTTACTTTGTTGTTCTAGCTTTTTAAATTAGGAATTTAATTGATTTATTTTCACTTTCTTATTTTTACTGATGCAAGTGTTTAAGGCCATGAAGCTTTCATTGATCACTGCTTTAAATGAACTCCATAAGTTCTCAAATGTAGTATTTTCATTATAATTACGTTTTAGAAATTATGTCATTTTGATTATATGTCCCTTGTCACCAGGAATTGTTTAATACAAGGTATTAAAATTTTCTGGTGGAACATTCCATGCTCATGCATAGGAAGAATTAATATAGTTAAAATGTCCATATTGCCTAAAGCAATATATAGATTCAATGCAATTCCTATCAAATTACCTAGGGCAGGGCCTGCCGAGTGGCTCGATGGTTAAGAGCTGGCTTGGGACGCCAGAGGGCCCCGGTTCGGATCCCACATATGAGGGTCAGTGACACTGCCCTTCACAGCTAAGATGCTGAACAACAGCTCAACCTGGAGCTGGGCTGCCGTGAGTCGCTGGTCACAGCGTAGGCTACAGCCCCTGTGGCAGTGGGTTGCCATGGGCTACCGTGTGAAGCCCATAGCCAGCATGAGCGGCCAGCAGCCGCAGTGAGCGGCCGTCCAGAAGCCGGTGACTGATCTGCCTCGCCCGGGAAGAGTGCAATGATGGTGCCAACTTGGGCCAGTGAAGCAACGCCCTCCACAACTAGACTGAAGAACAAAAACAACAGCAACTTGTCTGTTCCCCTTCCCCCAATTCCCCAGCGCTGTTCCCATCCCCCAATTCCCCAATAAAAATCTTAAAAAAAAAAAAAAACTACCTAGGGCATTTTTCACAGAAATAGAAAATATAATCCTAAAATTTATATGAAACCAAAAAAGACCCCAAATAGCCATGGCAATCCTGAGAAATAAGAACAAAGTCGGGGGGATCACGCTTCCAGACATTAGAACATACTACAAGGCCACAGTAATCAAAATAGTATGGTACTGGCATAAAAATAGGTATACAGATCAATGGAACAGAATAGAGAGCCCAGAATTAAATCCATGCATATATGGGCAGTTAGTCTATGACAAGGGAAGCAAGAATTTACATTGGGATAAAGATAGACTGTTTAATAAATGGTGCTGGGAAAATTGGACTGACACATGCAAAAAAATGAAACTGGACCACCTCCTTACGCCATATACAAGAACAAATTCAAAATGGATTAAAGACTTAAATATAAGACCTGACACCATAAAACTTCTAGAAGATAATATAGGGTCTAAATTTGCAGACATTACCCTGAGCAATGTTTTTACTGATACATCCCCGCGGGCTAGGGAAGTAAAAGAAAAAATGAACATATGGGATTACATCAAACTTAAAAGTTTTTTCACAACAAAAGAAACCATCAATAAAACAAAAAGGAAGCCTACTGAATGGGAGAAGCTATTTGTCAATGATATATCTGATAAGGGGTTAATATCCAAAATATATAAAATGCTCATGCAACTCAACACCAAAAAACTAAACAACCCAATTAAAAAATGGACAGAGGATATGAAGAGACATTTCTCCAAAGAGGACATACAGATGGCCAACAGGCATATGAAAAAATGTTCAACCTCACTTAGCATTAGGGAAATGCAAATAAAAACCACAATGAGATACCACCTCACCCCGGTCAGAATTGCTATTATCAATAAATCAACAAACAACAAATGCTGGCGAGGTTGTGGGGAAAAGGGAACCCTGGTGCACTGCTGGTGGTGGGAATGCAGACTGGTGTAGCCACTATGGAAATCAGTATGGAGGTATCTCAAAAATCCGGAAATGGAACTACCTTATGACCCAGGAATCCCACTCTTAGGTATTTATCCACAAAAACCCAAGACATTAATTCGAAAAAATATATGTACCCCTATGTTCATAGCGGCGCTATTCACAATAGCTAAGACTTGGAAACAACCGAAATGCCCATTGGTAGACGACTGGATTAAGAAACTGTGGTACATTTACACAATAGAGTATTACTCAGCTATAAAGAAGAAGGAAATAATACCATTTGCAACAATATAGATGGAACTAGAGAACATTATGCTAAGTGAAATAAGTCAGTCAGAGAAAGACAAATACCATACGATCTCAGGATTCTAAGGAACTGAATGGATGGGAGATATGGATGGAGATAGTCTCAGAGACACAGAGGAAAAACTGAGAGTTGCTAGTTGGGAGGAGGTGGGGATGAAGGAGAAGGGGAAGGGATGAGACAATACAAATTAGTAACTACAATATGGCCTCAGGGATAGAAAAGACAGTCTGGGGAATATAATCAATAATGTTGTAAATATTTCTTAGGGGGCCAGATG